CCCTCTGCTGCCTTAGTTTTGTTTGGGTAAAAAACCAAAACAGTTTTCTTCTGTGTTCTCTCCCTGCAGATAGCACTAGCCAAAGCTTGTGGGAGTGGAAACCAACTAGGATTAGAAGCAAAATCTTCCAGTGAAATGGTGTCTCAAATCTTTCAAGCTTCCCTTCCTATCAGCAAGAAAAGTATCTTCACTGTGCAGAAAGGAATGAATGAAACAATGAGGTAAAAACTCAGATCCAGGAGTCAGGCCTCACAGCAGAAACCATTGCCCATTTCCCTCTACATTTCCTTTCTAGAAGGAAACCAATCTAGAATGAGGTCTGTTGGAAGAGGGCATCTTTTGCTGGGCTCCTCTGTGATGCATTGTGTACATTCAGGGAAACACTGGAAAGGAGACATATCAGAGCCCTTATTTCAAGCCCCAGTGCAGAACTGAAATGAGGTGTGTGAGGTTTTCTCTGGACTCTCAAGTTCTTGCATCTCTCAAGACTAGAAAGTTCTTCAAGAACTAGAGACACTGTTTGAGTTGTTTGAGCCACGGTATCTGTCTAGTTATCCTAGATGGCCTTTAGCCTCCTAACTGAAGGGACCTGCCCTTTCCTTCTGCAAGTGCCCATTAGAGGATAGTTTCTAGTTCCATTTTGCAGGCAACTTCAATCCAGGGTGAATGGGTCTCTGAGCAACCTGGTGAGGGTGGTGAGACACCCAGGTTGCCCAGGGAAGCTGTGGCTGCCCCATCCCTGGCAGTGTTGAAGGGCAGGTTGGATGGGGCTTGGAGCAGCCTGGGCTGGTGGGAGGTGTCCCTGCCCATGCAGGGGGTTGGAAATAGATGAGCTTTTGGTAAATTTCTTGGCTTGGAACTTTCAGATGGAGAAAGGACTCGATAACTAGAGCAGGGAGGGTGTTCAGCACAGCGTGGGTGGGTTTTCACTGCAAATTGTCTCTCTCTTTCCTGTCTAGGTACATCCTGATTGACTGGCTGGTAGAAGTGGCTACCATGAAAGACTTCTCCAGCCTGTGCCTTCACATGACAGTGGGGTGTGTGGATCGGTACCTGAAGCTGCGGCCGGTGCCCCGGGCTCGGCTCCAGCTCTTGGGAATTGCCTGCATGGTCATCTGCACCCGGTAGGGCTCCTGGGGGGCAGCAGGGCTGCTTATTCTGACCATTCCAATTCATTTCTGCTGCTCAAGGGGTTTTTTTCCCCCCTCCTTTTCTAATAATGATACTCAGAATCATCTTTGGCTTCCCTCTGAACGCAGTTCAAGCAACACCCACAACCTCTGCAAATGAGACACCAAATGTAGCTCTTTGAACATGCTTATAAATAGGAAAAAACCACTCCCTGGTGGGTGATTGGTCTGCAAACACTCCCCCAGTAACTGAAATCTTTCACACCTCGTGAGCATGAGGTGCAGCAGAATTGTTACCTGCTTTAGTCTGTGATCCTCAGATGAGCCACATCACGTGCTGGAAAGTTCCTCTTCTGTGTTTCCTTAGTATCTCTCATCTGAACTTAGGAGAGGTTTCATAAATGAGGAATTGAGTATATTCCAGTTGGTGGTTTCAGCTTAAAGGTGAAATAAATGAATAAATTCTTTCTTTCCTGGTCTTCACCTGGGAAAGTACCTTATAAAGTTGTTTAACTCTTTGGTGACCATGGGTGCACTCACAAAAGCATTGGTGCACAGCTGCACAAATTCCCTCTCTTCTGGAACTAACTTAATATTCCTTAATCCTGCAGTTTCATCAGCAAGGAGATCTTGACCATAAGGGAAGCTGTGTGGCTAACAGACAACACCTACAAATATGAAGATTTGGTCAGAATGATGGGTGAGATCATTTCTGCCCTAGAAGGAAAGATAAGGGTGAGTTGGGAAAGTGGATGGAGTATCTCACCCCTTGGGCTGCTACTGAAGTCAGGCTGTTGTAATCAGCACTTCTTGCCTGAGATGTTGGGGGTTTGTGTGAGTGTTCTCAGCTAGGGAAGACCCACATGTTTCAGAACATGGAGGTACAAACCCCCTGCTTTTCTCTGGAGATGAAAACTTAAGTTTTAGGAGGCCATTTATTTTTTCAATGGAGGATGTTTCAATGTCAGTGTAGTAGTTAAAAAAAAAAATATCCCCCAAACTCTGCTGAAATGAAAAGAGCATCTGGAAACAGCTGTGAATAGAAATAGAAATGAATAGTTAAGGTTGGAAGGGACCTGAAGATCCCCAGGCTCCAACCCTCCTGCTCTGAGCAAGGACACCTCACACAGCCCAGGCTGCCCAAGCTTCATCCAACCTGCCCTTGGACACCTCCAGGGAGGGGGCAGCAACAACCTCCCTGGGCAACCTGTGCCAGTGCCTTCCTGCCCTCATGGGGAAGAATTTTTTCTTAATGTCTAACCTAAATGTCCCCTCTTTCAGTTTAAAACCATCACCCCTTGTCCTGTCACTGCCCTCTCTGGTAAAAATAATACTTGGTGCTTGCTTTGTATTCCCAACCTCTGTTCTCCTTTCTGCATTAGATACCTACCATTGTGGACTACAAAGAAGTGCTGTCAAATGTGGTCTTGCTGGAGAGAAGGACCCTTCACCTTTATAGCTTCATCTGTGAACTGTCCCTCTTAAACACCAGCCTCTGTGTGTACTCCCCAGCTCAGCTGGCTGCTGCAGCACTGCTGCTGGCAAGGGTACTGCACAGGCAAGGTAAGGAATCTCAAGAGGAGCTGCAGTGTGGTCTGTCAGTCTGCCTGGTCTTTTTTAGGGAGGTGTTTTGTGGGTGTTACTTTGTATTTAGACAAGATGTCCCAGTCACTTGGCTGGGGGAGTGGAGAGGGGCAGGTACAAGGCTGCAGAGTAAGGGTGACAGAGCACTGGAACAGGCTCCTCAGAGAGGTGGTGGAGTCTCCTTCTCTGGACACTTTCCAGACCTGTATGGATGCCTTTCTGAGGGATCTGCCCTAGACTTGGTCCTGCTCTGGCAGGGGGGTTGGACTTGAGGACCTTTGGAGATCCCTCCCAACCCTGACCATTCTGGGATCATTCTGGGAATGAAGAGTTGAGTTCAATCTATTTTAGCTCTTAACACCTGTGATGAACAGGAGTGTTAGCATCAAACTCTGCAAGATCTGTTTAAATGAGATTCAAGATTTCTGTGCTTGTGTGTAACTTCAGCTTGGCAGGTAAACCTTGAAGCCAATTGTGAACTTGAATGGACTGTGTACAAGCTTGCAAAGATCATTATCTTAATCCCATTGAATAAAACAAGCCTGTCTGATTAAAGAACAGCCAAGCTTCATGAAATGGTAACTTATGTTCTCTTCTCCAGCACACCCCTGGACCAGCCAGCTGTCTGAATGTACTGGTTTCTCCTTTGAAGACCTGTTGCCCTGTGTGCTGAGCCTCCACCAGAAGTGGTAATAGTTCTGGAATTCTTCTGGGAGGGCACAGAAGTACTTAGATTCCAGCTTTTGCAGAGAAGCTGCATCTTTTCAGTCAGCCCTTCCCAGTGAAGGAGCTGGCTTTGGGCAACTGCCTTGTTCCACCCCCCCACCAGCCACTGAGCCTGAGGGACCAGTTTCAGGGACACTGGTTCTGTTTCTCCCAGCTGGTGGTGCCCTGAGTTACAGAAAACATGATGTTCCTCAAGGCTGACAGGTTTCAGCTTGTCAAGCATCACTGCTTTCAGAAGACTGGTGAACTTCAGGACTTCAGTAGCCAAAGCAGCCTCACCTCTGTAGAGAGTACAAGGCAAATATCTTGTTCCCCTCAGTGAACAGAACAGGAATGAGATGCTCCTGTGCTTGAAAATCAAGTGTCCTGGCTTTGCCAAACACCACCTTCCTTAGCACAGAGCTGAGATGGACAGAGGGGAAAGTACTGAAATTGGCAGGGTTTTTTTAACCCTCTTTCTTATAATTCATTCTAAGATTTGGACTTTAATCTCTTTCCAGTTTCCATGATGATGTCCCAAAGGATTATAGGCAGGTGTCCTTAACTGCAGTGAAACAACGATTTGAAGACGAGCGTTATGAGGAAATAGGCAAAGAAAAGGTGGGTGAGCTCCTTGTCTCCATCTGCTGCTGTCAGACACCACAGCAAGGCTGCTGTGTGGCAGGATGGGATAAACTCCAGGGAATGGGAAGTGGGTTCCAACTTTGGGCTTGTGGAGTGGATCTAAACAAAGTGGTGGCTTTAAACCTGCTCTGGTTGAGTACATGTGGGAAGAACTGGGACAGGGAGGTTCTCTAGGTTTCTCCTAGAAAATGAATAGAAAGAGTCTCTTGGCAGGGGGAATCAGGTGGCTTAATCCCTTCTGGCTTTCTCTTTTTTAGATGATGAGTTACAGCCAGCTCTGCTCATTGTTGGGTGTGAAACAGGAGGACCCAGAACCCAGTCCCTTGCACACAAACGTGGTGGAAATTCAGACTTTCCTTAGCTCTCCCTCTGGAAAGAGAACTAAAAGGCCAGTATAACTCCTTGCTGTAAATGTGTCAGAGGGTTAGCAGGAGCCTGTCTTCTGGTAGAATCATAGAATCCTGGGGGTTGGAAGGGACATGGAAAGCTCCCCCAGCCCAACCCCCCTGCCAGAGCAGGGGCACCCAGAGCACATCACACAGGAACGTGGCCAGGGGGGTTGGAATGTCTCCAGAGAAGGAGACTCCACAGCCTCTCTGGGCAGCCTGGCCCAGGGCTCTGTCACTCTCACAGCAAAGAAATTCTTCCTGATATTCACATGGAACCTCCTGTGCTCCAGTTTGCACCCATTGCCCCTTGTCCTGTCACTGGTCATCACGGAAAAAAGCTGAATTCCATCTCCCTGACACTCCCCCTTTACGTATTTGTGCCCATGGATGAGGTGGCCCCTCAGTCTCCTCTTCTCCAAGCCCAACAGACCCAGCTCCCTCAGCCTTTCCTCAGCAGGGAGATGTTCCACTCCCTTAATCAACTTTGTGGCTCTGGTAACTGAGGGTCTGTTCTTAAATATCCATTTTTCTGTAATCATCCTCATTTCCACACCTATTGGGAGCTGCAGAAACAGACTTGGCTTTTAAGGTGCAAGTTCTGGATTTTCTCTCTACAGGAGGAGGGAAGACAGCATTCAGGATGACAGGGGCAGCTTTGTGACTACACCCACAGCAGAGCTATCCAACCAGGAGGAAAGTCTTCTAGACAACTTCCTAGACTGGAGTTTAGCTTCCTGCTCAGGTTATGAAGGTGATCAGGAAAGTGAAGGCGAGAGAGACGGAGATGGTGAGGGTTTTATTCTCCTTATAAAAAGCAGATGAGAGAATTTAAACTCTCTTTTCAACTTTGCTTAAACCTGTTTCTCAGGCAACAGAAGCCTGAGCTTTCAGCTGAAGACCAACTGGAAAAACCTCTCCCCTTTCCCCCGTGGTTATAATTGTTAAACTATTTACAGGTATCTGCCTGTTCTGTTTCTCTCTCTTGCTTCAGAACATGAAGGGTTTGTAGCTGCTTAGTGTTTTGCAGTGTGGTTGTTTTCAGCCACCAGAGAGTGGACCAAATGTGATGAATGGCCCCGTGTTAGAAACACTTAGTTTTGCTGACTCTGGGCCTGGCTGTTCATGTTCTGAACAGCTCTTGGTGCTTATCCAAACAGTCTAGGGGGGCAAAAAGTAACTTATTTCAACTGAGAGGGAACTTAGTGCTCTCCCCTCCCTACGGGGTGTAAAGCAGATGGAAGGTTTATGCTCTTGCTTTTTTTTTCTGTTTGGTGTTGCCTGAATCAAAACTAACCTTTTCCTTTCCTCACTCCACAGTGACTGGTCCCAGTGGGATCTTGGATGTGACAGTGGTCTATATGGACCCTGCTGACCACTGCTGTCAGGACTCCAGCGATGAGGACAACCTGGCTGCAGAGTGGGCTGGGCAGGAGCCCACGGTGTTAGACAACACCCACAGCCCTTCAGCCTGTCTGCCCCCAAGGAATCCTAAACTGGAAAGGAGCTCAGGCTACTCTTCTGTCAACAGTGCCAGCCCTACATCTTCTGTGGAAGGCAGCCTTGGAGTACCCCTCAAACCTACCTCAGCACCGTCCCGCGGCCCCGCGGGGCTGTGCCCCCCTCCCTGCCTGGACTGGTGTTTACAGTCAGGCTGTGCCAGGCCTGGGGAGGGCAGGTGTGACAGGAGGCAAGTCAAGAGGAAAAATGTGGCAGAACACAGTGGAGAAAGGGTGAACTTGGGCTTCTTAAGCCTCTGATTTCTTCCTGCTCTTTACTTTCCTAGGGTTCCTGGAAACAGTCCCTGCTGTAGTCGTACAGGGATGATAGTGAATGATTTTGGATACCTCCAAAATGAGCCCTTCCCCTCAACTTGGCCTGTGCCTGTCTTGTAATTCTGTAGCTCATTTCTGGGCCATTACCTTCCTTCTTAGCTGCCTTTTTAAACTGCTCCCTATTGTCTGATGCTCTGCAAAGTCTATGTGAAACTTTTTATCTCATTTTCCTCCTATCTCACCAGCTCGTCCTTGGTGATAGAAAGGAACTTGTCACGTCCCTTGCTTTGCTGTGAGGCCTGGCACTGTAAAAGGAAGGAATTGACTTTTGTTCTCAAGTTACTGGATGTAACACTATGCTTGAATCCGTCCACTTGAAAGACCTTGTTGAGGTGGTGCTGCCTTTTCCCTCTGGCCAGGCACTGTCTCACTCAGCTGGTGCTTCCCTCTTCATGTAAATACCAATTGCTGCACTGACACAAGGTTTTTATGGATACAAGGAAGAGGTAAATGAAGGCTCACTGCAGGTCTGAGCTTCTTTTTTTACCTACCTCTCAGATGGTTTTAAACCCCACTTGCCTCAGGCTCTAGCTGCCAAGTCTCCCTTGCCTGACAAACCCTTCTGTGCCTTAATGCTCCCCTGCCTGTCCTACAGTGATGTGATCTCTGTGAACTGTTGACTCTGCTGAACGGGGTGGCTGAACTGCCACCTCCAGCCACTGGCTCCGTGTCACTCCCTGTCTCACACAGTCTCTCTTCCTTGCTATTTCCATTAATGTGTCCTTGAGTAAAGCACAAGTCACTTGAACACTAGACCCAGGCAGTCTGTGGTACTGAAAGCCTCATTTCAGCCTTGTCTCCTGCTCTGTTAGGGCAGCAAATGCTTTTCTTATAAAAAAGGAAACCTGTGCTGCTTTGGTGACAATCTGAAGAAACCACCTCCCTGACCTCAGCCTTCCAAGCCTGGGTTAAAGCTCCTTCAGCCTGTGAACGGTGGGGAAACCAGCCCCAGGTGACTGAGCATTGAAATACCAAGGTACAAGACTTCCAGGAGACATCACTGCATTTAACACTGGAACTGGACTCCATGACTCTTCCTTTCTCTCCAAGTTACTGTGGCAGATGGCAACAGTTCAGATACACACAGTGTAGTGACTTTTTTTTTTATAAAAACTTTTTTATAATACAGATGGCTCCCTGTCTTACTTCAATAACTGGTATCCTACCCTCACCTGGGGCTTGGAGAACTGATGGGATGTTTGGGGATGAAGTCAGAGCCCAGCTCTGATCCCAGTTATCCCCAGGAAGCTGCAGCTGCCTGGGTCTGGCTGCAGGCCCTTTCATGCCAGGAGCAGCACAGGGCTCAAGCCACTCACCAGCCCTACAGCAGCAGCAGAGATGCTACAAAAAGGCCTTGAACCAACAGAGCAGCCTCAGGTGCTTGTCCACAAAGTTTATTACAAAACTATCCACTGCCACTGTAGATTAAAAAAATAAAAAGTCCCTGATTTCATTTTTCTGTTCCAGTCTTCACCCTTCTCCCAGTGGCTACATTGCACTTCTCCAGCTGCTGCTTACAAAGCTTTGCCAGGCAGGAGTGTCTTCACATTAACTTGCTGAAGCACCAGCTCAAACTTGGGTCACATTAAAATTGGAAGAAATAATTTATAAAAACCTCTCTCAGCTTTAAAATAGGTAAAATATCTTCTGGGAGGGCCTCGTGCTGCAGAAAGCTTGGGATTCTTTTCCTGTGCAAGTTTTCTTGATCTGAAAGACACAAAATAGGAGCATTAATCAGTTCAGCCTCTTCCTAAGAAGAGTAAATGAGGTGATGAGGAGCTAGTTCTGTGTTCTTGGGGCTTGCTCCTTCATGCACTGGCCTTGGTCGATCTGGACTGAAACCAAATTTGTCTCTGGATTAAGCCTCAATCTCGGAAGTGCCTCCTGAATAAAACAGCAGCTGGGCCTTAGAGAGCCACCAGTTACAGCCACAGGCCTGAGGCAATTCAGCCGGAGCTAGAAGGGCTTTCTGAAAAAGAAAAGCAAAAGATCCAGCCCAGAGCCTTCTTTAGAAAATAGTAAATTAAAAAGGACCAGATTTATAAACCCCTGTATTCTTCCAAGGACAAGTGTTTCCAGAAAAAAACTGAGGAAACACAAGCTGCAGGACAGCCTGAGCCTGGCTTTGTGTGGCACTGACCTCTGAGAGGGAACTGACCTCTGAAGGGCTGGGACCCCCTGCACAGCCAGGACCCCCTGGCTCTCAGGAGTGAGACTTGGCAGCCCAGGCTGCCCTGTCAGAGAATCACAGAATCACCAAGGCTGGAAAAGACCCTTAAGATCATAAAGTCCAGCCCATGACCTGACACTACATCAGCCATGGCACTAAGTGCCACCTCCAGCCTTTCCTTGAACACCTCCAGGGTTGGTGCCTCCACCACTTCCCTGGGCAGTCCATTCCCATGTCTAATCACCCTTTCCATGAGGAAGTGCTACCTAATATCCTATCTAAACCTCCTCTAGTGCAACTTCAGGCCAGGTCCTCTTGTCTTGTTGCTGGTGGCCCGGAAGAAAAGCCCAGACCCCCCTGAGCACAGCCTCCCTTCAGGGAGTTGAAGAGAGTGAGAAGGTCCCCCCTGAGACTCCTCCAGACTAACCCCAGCTCCCTCAGCCTCTCATCAGACTTTTCCTCCAGTCCTTTCACCAGCCTCGTTGTCTCCTCTGGACCTGCTCCAGCACCTCAAGATCCTTCTTGCAGTGAGGGGCCCAGAACTGGACACAGAACTTGAGGTGAGGCCTCCCCAGTGCTGAGCACAGGGGGGGAATCACATCCCTGCTCCTGCTGGCCACACCATTCCTGATACAAGCCAGGATGTCATTGGCCTTCTGGGGCAGCAGCTCTGCCCTGCTCAGGTGCTCACAGCAGGGCAGGGGGTCTGCACCTTCCCAGCTGCTGGCACTGACCTAGGGTACCATTTTGATATCCACAGGGTCATAGGCTGAAGCTCTCATCTTCTCCAGTGGCTGCTTGAAGAGCTGCCGCAGGGCCTCATAGTCGGGCTTATCCTCATACCCCAGAGCCATCACATGCTGCAGGTACCTCTGCAGGGCATCTGCAAAGCAAGGACATCGCTGCCTGGAGCAGCAGGGCAGCTGCCACACGGTCTGGAGACACATCACCCACCTGCCTTGGCCAGCTGCAGAGGGGCAACAAAACCAAAGACCAGCAGGAAGCTCAGAGACAAGAGGGGGAAATGATCTCTAGCCTCCAATACTGCATTTCTAAAGCCACCAGAACAATCAGGGCTCAGGGATACAGAGCGTGGGCAGCAGCCCCTCTTGGTTTGCTGTAAGGAAAGCAAGGGGTTTGCTCACAGGAGGAGCCTGTCAACTGGTCCATGGGATGCTTGGTCACCATCACCAGTGGAAGCCATCCTGGACAAGCACCCCAGAGCAGACCAGGTTCTGCCTTCAGGTCCAGTCAATCCCCATTCCCCCAGTCCCACTGCCAGGGGGAGCAGGGCTGTACCTGGGATGGGTTTCTGCCGGAAGCACAGTCGGAGAAGGCAGATCACATCCCCTTTGTACCTGGAACGATCAGTGGGAGGTGCTGTCAGGTGAGGAGCACAGGAGCAGGCACCTCAACAGCCTGACCTTGGCAACAGGGACAAAATGTACAAAACCCAGATGGCCACATTCTGAATGGACCAGAAATCAGGGTGCACCAAACACCCCTGGCCAGGCCCAGCCTCCACATCCCAACAGTGCCCCACGACTGATTTGTCTTCAGCCACCAAACCTCCCTCACTGCCTTCTGCTGAGTTTTGCCCAAGAGTAGATGATTTCTCCTACTTTTCCTTCTTCTCCACCACAGTTTCTATTTTGTCCAGTTCAGCAGACCAAGGCAACGACCCACTGAGCCATTTCAGAAGGCAGTAGCCCAGAGATTCCAAGTCACTCCGGCGAGATGGGCCTGATGGGGATAAAGAGAGATGCACACGTGAAAAACTTTGGGAACCATCCCAGAAGAGGCCCAGGCCAGCAGCCCTCCTCCTCCAAAGGCAACTAAGGATTCTAGCACTCACTGCACAACCTTGGAAGCCTCTATTTGAGGTGCCCCTTCTGTCAAACAGGCAGCCTCACCGGGGCACAAGTCTGAGAGAGTCATGAGAGGCAAAGAGCTGAAGAAATGCAAGAGCTTCATGAAGATGTACCCTGGGACACCAACACTTCTGCTTGTTCACACAGTTGAGGAATCACCTCCCAGCCTCCAGAGGAAGATCTGCCCAGTTTGAACACTGGGAGAGAACAGTCACATTCCAACCAGGAGGAAGTGGATAATTTAAATGCCTTTCCAGCTCTCATTGCTTCAAGGTCAGAGCAGAGCCTGCTGCAAATCTGTTTTGGGCAGGGATCCAGTCTGGCTTGAAACAGATCCCTGCTAAGCCAGCAGGACACAGCCCTGTTTTCTAATCCTCACACTCCTGCAGTTGCCAAGGCCCCAGATGGAGAACGAACATCCCTGCACCTCTTGCTGGCAAGTCCCAACGCAGCAGCCCAGAGACAGGCAGGAGGAAACAGCCCAAATAGGAGCTTGGTTCCTGGTGCACGAGGTGCCTGGGAGGCAGCAGCAACAGGAATGGCAGCAGAGAGCACTGCTGCAGTTAACAGCTTGTGTGACTCACCTGCCCCGTTGTGGCTGTCCAGGCTGATGAACTCTGTGGTGCCCTCATGAGGGGTCCTGCTGCCCTCACGCAGGGGCACGTGCTTCCCTCCCGGGCAGTACCTGAACGCGAAGCAGTAATCAGCCAGGGTCACCTGGAGACACCAAACACACCTGAGTGACACTGCTCCAGCCCCCAGGCTGACCCTCTGCTCTGCCCCCTCCAAGCAGCAGCCTGGAACTCCCCTCCAGGGAAAGGCACTGCTCCTTCCAGCAGATTCCAGGTGTGAAGCAGAGTCCTGCACAGACCAGGCTGCTCCCCTGCCAGCAGCAGGGACCTGCCTGTCACTGCCCCATTTCACAGGGCAGCCCTCTCAGCACTGCTCCTGCTCCCACCTGTGTGAGGTCTGCTGGGTTCAAATAGATGTTCTCAGCTGTGATGTCCCCATGCACATACTCGTTCTCATGAATGTACTCCAGGCAGTCTAGCTAGGAGTAAACAGAAGAGGCAGTAGGATCAGAACCACACAGCCTCCTTCAGCACCCTGACTGTCACCAAGGTCCCCTCAGCACAAAAAAGCACCACCTCTCACAGCCTCTGATTTTCAAGAATCAGATCTATCCCGTTCTCCTCACTCCAACTTCCTTCAAGGTGACATAGTGTTCAAAAGATGCAGCTCAAGTTTACAAAAGACTCAACGGATGCTACTTAGAGACCCCAGCCAACCCCCTGGATCAGCTTTAAAACACCAGAAGTCACAGGTCTTTTCTGAAGTCTCTTAGGAAGTGTCAGTTCCCTACATACCAGTCGGACTGCAATCTGAAAAGCTGCCTTCTCCTTCAGCAGGTCTAAACCATCATTCAGCACTGACTGAAGAGTTCTTCCTAAGTCAGAGAACACCAAAAACCTACAAGAGACAAAGCAGAAAGTACTTAGCAGTACCTGCCTGGTTTGGAAACCCTGCAACAGACACTCATCAAGGAATCCACCTGGATTACACTCCCTTTCAAATTCAAATGGACCTAGGCAAACATTTCCTCAACTTTTGACAACAGAAAACTCCTTGAAAAGGAGATGCTGATCTCGTATTGCAGACACAGAATCTGAGTCTCCCCTTCATGTTAAGATGAAAGGCAGGAATAAGGTGTCCCCTGGCAGAAGCAGCCAAGGCAGAGACTTCATCAGCAACACAAGGAACAGATAATGTGAGGCAAACCATGTATTAATCCATGTGAAGCAGTGCATGAGGTGAGGAGCTCAGGGGACAGTGAGAAAAGGAACAGCAGCACGGAGAGAAGAGGGAAAGCCCATGGGGATGGCAGCTGTGGACAAAAGAGTTCAGCTGTGCCCTTCGTGAAGTCACCTCACCTGTAGCTCTCTGCATGCAGTCCAAAGCCAAGGCACTTGGGGATCCCCAGCAACGGCACAGAGTGCCACTTCTTCCACTTCTCCACTAGAAGGGGAGAGACAGGACAGTGCAGCAGGAGCTCCAGAACAAAGGAGCTCAGTCAGAGACACCTTTTCTCCAAAGGCTGGAAGCCTCACACTGTTTCTGTGCCAGCAACACCAGCCCAGTGCATTGGCACATCCCCCACACAGCAGTGCAGAGCAAGACAGAAAGGCTGCTGGGAACACCAGGGGCTGGGGCTGCTACAGGGGTAGGTGAAACAAGAGGAGGGGGGGAGAGAGAGAGAGAGAGGAGGATGGAGAAGCAAGATTTTTATGGTCCTTCCAGAAGTGCAGGTTTGACACTAACTCCTTCATCACCCCTTCTCAAATACCTGCCCAAATTCCTGGTCAGCTTTGCTCTTGCTCAGGTTTTTGGGTCCATGGGGTAAATACCAGACAGCAGCTGGCAGAAACACCCAAGGAAGGGGCACAGGAGAGGGGGACAAGGTAGGACAGACTGAACAGCTACCAGGGAGGTCAAGACAAAGCACGGGTATAGACAAAAGCTTCAAAATGCCAATACTGCAGTGTCCTTAGGTGCACAGAGGCTCCTGGGAGAGCAGACCGAGCTTCTCAGCTCTCGGGCACTAAGCAGTGAATTAATTCTTGCCTGCCCTTCCAAGAGACCCACGCAACTGATAGGAGAGGGATGCCAGTTTCCCAACAAGCAACCTAGTCCTTGTCCTTCCCAGGAAGCACCAACCTGTGCCTGCCTTTGCAGCTCGCTGGAAGAAGTTCTGCTCATTGTAGATCCTGCCATCTTTGACATCCTGGAGGGAACAGGAAGGAGTGTTACTTCAGCCACACACACCCTGCTGGAAAGGGAAACTTGGGCAAGATTGCTACAGCACCTTCACTACTCATTTTATAGAAAAAAAAACAAAAAAAAACCAACAAAATGCCAGATCAGCAACAGAGCTGAGGTCTCTTGGTTCACACTTTGCTGCTGTGCCCACCAACCACAGAACTTCTGAGCGCAAAGAACCAGGGAGTGGGTCTCACACTGGACATTACAGGCACTACCACTCCCAACTGCCTGTGGTTAAAAGCAGGTGGACAGTGCAGACCATCTGGCCACCTGGAGTGAGCCCTAATCCCAAACTGTTGTTTTAGAAAGAGCCAGAGGGAACCTCCTTGTCCACAGCACAGGTGAGGACATTTCTGCAAACAGGCAAGTCCCAGCCAAAAGCTGTAGCCTGTTATTCTGTCAGAGACAAGTCAGTCTGTATTTGTGACATTCAAGTCATCCTGGGGGAGGTGCTGACAACTCACAATCCATCTTTTTAAACCAGCAAGTACCTTTTCACTGCTGCTGTTACCAAGTGACCTAAGTGCCCATGGTTTCCAGCCAGGATGGATGCTCTGCACACTGCAGAGCAACTGGGGACAGATGCTGTTGTGCATGGGAGGAGGCAGCAGCTTTACACCCTGACTGGTTTGATACCAAAGGCCCCACCCAATTGGCCAAGATAGCTGGAAGATCACCAGGCTCCAGACAACACACACAACCATGTTCCAGAGGATATTTTATTCTGCACCTTGCCTGGGAAGCTGATCTGAGCCATCAAACCCAGGAGCCAAAATGCTCTCATGTGCCCTATCATACCCCACAGTCCCCTGCAACTACAGGGGCTGGGCTGTGGCACCAGAACTGCCAAACAAAATGCCAAAAGATGCCAAAGGTGCAAAACAAAGGAGTTGGGAGTGTTGTGCACAGAAGTGATGACAGTTTCCCACCTGCTGGCTAAGGGACTAACAAAAGGGACAAGGATTTTTCAAGTGCCCACAGGTGTGGGCACCACCAGGTCCCCCCCAGAGCCATTAGTGATCACTGGTCTTTCAGAGATGAGCGACCCCCAAGAGCCACAGCAGACAGAAAAACAGCCTTTCTGCTCTGGTTTGTGAGGTACTGGAAAGCAGTCAAGTGAATTTCCATTGTAGAACAGCTGCTACTGGGAAGAGCCCATTTCTGGAGCTCCCAGAGGACTGGCAGGTGCCCAGGAAGCTGCCTCAGACTCCAGCTGTAGTTACTGTTTGACACCAAGTGTGCTCAGGCCTTAAAGCCACCCCGTGCTGGTTCATCACCCTGTCTCAGCACAGCCACCCAACTCACACCCCTCCAGTGTCCCAGGCTTCAGCAGGGCACGTGCTCACTGGCCATCCAGGAGCACAGCAAGTCTGACACAAATTAATCCAAATCCACCACCAAATTCAGGCCTGGAGATGACTGAGCTTGGTGCACTGAAAGGGCTCTGCTTTTTTTATAATCCTCCTGTTTCCTTCACACCTTTAGTGGAAGAGCCAACTGCTACTGAAATCCAGGCATGACACCCTCAGGAAATTATATCCATTTCCTAAGCTAGGAGGGGCCTCTGTGATCACTGAATTCTATGATGATTCTGTGTTTAATTCCCTGGACACTCTTAGCCCTACAGCCCTGGACACAGCACACTGTGCACTATTCCTTACCCAAACAGATCAAAACTCACAAGTTTGAGGGAGTATCTTTGCATTTGAGGCCAGGTTCCAGATGCTGGCTGTGCTGTGGAAGGATGGAACAGAGGTGGTGGTTACAGGAGCACAGGAAAGAGGCACTTGCAGTGTCAGCTGCATCACTAACAACAGCCTGCACAGCTGCCTTTTACTGCTCCTCTGCTTCTTTCACTCAATCCTGGCAGCACCTTCCCAGGGAACTACAAAGTGATTCTTACCTTGCTGCAGAAGCACAGCACCCCACCTGCAGCTCTGCCTAAGCCCCAAAAGCATCCAGGCATGGCCGGAGGGGGGGTGCTCTGCAGGTGGTATGTAAGGAACCAATCATTAGTAGAACCTGAGAGGCACCCCCAAACTCATCTCCTGAATTCTCCCTACAGTTCACTCCAGAGCCTGTCAAAGTCCCTTCTGCTCTGCATGGATGTTAGAGTTATCTGTGGCCTTCCTCCTCCAGAGATCTGCACCCTTTACTTGGCCTTGAGGTAGTTCCTCTTCTGCTCTCAGGCTGAGCTTACCCACTGCTTGTCACCCAAAAGCTGCTTCTGTAAAATCCTCCACTTTTTCTAACATCACATCTTTTTAAAGACATTAAGTGGATGCCTAGGCTTTGTTATGCAAGAGGATTAAGTAATTAAAAAGAAACCAAACCCAAATATTGGGCAAAGCTTCCTAATGGACAAAACCCCTCCTGAAGAGTTTGTTTCCAAGCTAACCAGGGAGAAAAAGGTCTAAATCTTTCCTTTGGAAGTTGACAGCTGGACTGGAAAGCAGCTCAGCAGCCACTGAAGAGCTGAGGAGCAGAGCCCAGATGACTGAGTTGCCTCCCTGTGCCCCCCAGAGCAGGCTGAGGGTCCTGACCTGGCCGTGCACTATTCCTTACCCAAACAGATCAAAACTCACAAGTTTGAGGGAGTATCTTTGCATTTGAGGCCAGGTTCCAGATGCTGGCTGTGCTGTGGAAGGATGGAACAGAGGTGGTGGTTACAGGAGCACAGGAAAGAGGCACTTGCAGTGTCAGCTGCATCACTAACAACAGCCTGCACAGCTGCCTTTTACTGCTCCTCTGCTTCTTTCACTCAATCCTGGCAGCACCTTCCCAGGGAACTACAAAGTGATTCTTACCTTGCTGCAGAAGCACAGCACCCCACCTGCAGCTCTGCCTAAGCCCCAAAAGCATCCAGGCATGGCCGGAGGGGGGGTGCTCTGCAGGTGGTATGTAAGGAACCAATGATTAGTAGAACCTGAGAGGCACCCCCAAACTCATCTCCTGAATTCTCCCTACAGTTCACTCCAGAGCCTGTCAAAGTCCCTTCTGCTCTGCATGGATGTTAGAGTTATCTGTGGCCTTCCTCCTCCAGAGATCTGCACCCTTTACTTGGCCTTGAGGTAGTTCCTCTTCTGCTCTCAGGCTGAGCTTACCCACTGCTTGTCACCCAAAAGCTGCTTCTGTAAAATCCTCCACTTTTTCTAACATCACATCTTTTTAAAGACATTAAGTGGATGCCTAGGCTTTGTTATGCAAGAGGATTAAGTAATTAAAAAGAAACCAAACCCAAATATTGGGCAAAGCTTCCTAATGGACAAAACCCCTCCTGAAGAGTTTGTTTCCAAGCTAACCAGGGAGAAAAAGGTCTAAATCTTTCCTTTGGAAGTTGACAGCTGGACTGGAAAGCAGCCCCCCAGCCACTGAAGAGCTGAGGAGCAGAGCCCAGATGACTGAGTTGCCTCCCTGTGCCCCCCAGAGCAGGCTGAGGGTCCTGACCTGGCCGATCTGACACCACCCACAGCTCAGCTCCCGGATCTAAAAACCAGGGGGAGGAAACCCGGCCCCAGGGGGAGGCTCATCCACCTCATCTGGGTGCCCGGACCCACCGCCCACCCCCGGGACACCCCCGGGACAC